TGGTAAAGGCACTGGGTCCCACATGGCTGACTCTGCGATTTGAGTCCCCGACCTGGAGGCTTGAAAATCATCCCAGGTGCATATGAGTGTGTGTCCAAAGTCCCCAGAGGAGAAGGGATTAGAGCATGGCCAATCCCCCGAGGGGGCGGTTTCTCACTTTCCCTCTCTCTGTCGCTCTCTGGTGAGCACACACACCCTATGGCCAAAAAAAAAAAACAAAAAACTGTTTGATGTTGAAATTTATAACTAATGAATTTATGAGTAACTTTTTAAAAGCAAAGTGTATATGTGTTTAGTTTTCCATGTACAATATAGCCCTGCAAATAAATATATTTAACATGAACTAATCTCTTGCTTTCTGCCTGTTTGACTTTCCATTTGGCTCTTCTTCAAACCCTCCTAGAAAATGCCTCCAGACTTAGGGATGGAAGTGTGGGAGCTGAGAAAGGCTTCACGAGGTGACCCCCAGGGACTGTGGCGAGTTACTGGAAGCACTGCACTCAGCCTGTCCGGCTGTAAGGCAGCAGAGAGCCAAGGAGCCTTGGGGAGCCACCAGAACGTTCGAGGGACAACAGATGACCCTTGGCTACCTTCTGGAACACACCACGCCTTATCCCTAAGTACATGTTGTACCCTTCCACCAGAGGGATCCAGGTCTCCATGTTTGGTCCTGTTATCGTCAACGATAAGGCACTGCGACGTGGAGTGTTTCTCTGAGAGCCAGTGTGACTCGCTGTTTCTGAGATTACCCTGTTAGTCCTTACTCGGGTTTTGTCATTCCCGAAGGGTGAATTCCCTGGCACAATGGACCACACCCTGCTCTTGCTCTGTGTGGGTGCTTTCGCTGGCAAAAGAACTGAGGTGGAAATATGAGATTGGCGTTATGGGTGAGGTTCCTGTTTGTTCAAAGCCACCTCCTATCTTTCCCCTCTGAAGCCACCAAAGAAAACTCTGAAAATCCTGGAGTGACCCTTAATTAACTCAGCTGCAGGGGGAGGTACAGAGCAGCTAAAATAGATCTCCATTCTTTCCCTTGTAGCAAAGGTCTTCCCTACGAAAGGCTCTCACGGACTAACCAGCTTTCCCCGGTTTGATCTATTATCTGGGTAAATTGAAACAATCTCTCTTCTGTTCCTTTTGGACAAAGCGCTGGTTTTCAGTGAGCGCTCCTCTAGAGTAAGTAGCTGAGCGTCTGGTGGTGCACACCATCATCTTCGAAGGCCTGTTCCCATTCTTTAGGAAGAAAGAAGTGGCAAACAGAGCAGGGCTGGTCCTGGGGGAATAATGAAGTCGCCAAGGCCAAGGTCAGCTGAAGCAAGGACCCTGCCCCACCCTCTCACCGCTCTGTCCCCCGCCTCCCCTCCTGCCCTCTCAGTCCCCCTTACTTTTTCAACATACGCTCTCTGGAAAGTTTGGAACAAGCACCTTCCAGCTTGACATGTCCAATCTCTCAGAGATTGCAGGCATCGTCAAGGTGTTTGAAAAAAGTGTTTTTGAGGCACAAAGGGACTTCCCTCTCATTCTAAGGGCAGCCTTCCCAAAAGGAAGTGGGCGTGCAGAGATCAGTGTACAAACCTGAACCAAAATAAAGAGCGCCCTGGAGCACGGCTCGAGCTGAACTCCAGCTGCCTTGAAGTCACCACTGCCTGCCTGCCCAGCATATTAAAGTAAAAACTAGAAAGCACTTACACCTCACTGGCCTACAGTGTGTCTGTTTCTTTTTTCGGTCTTTGCCTTAGGGTGTGTGCACTCACCAGGGAGAGAGACAGAGACAGTGAGAGGGAAGGTGAGAAATCACCCCCAGGGGAGGTGGCCATGCTGCAATGTCTTCTCCACCAACTCCTCTCGGGATTTGGGGTACACACGCACATGTGCACCAGGTGTGATTTTTCAGGCCACCAGGCCCAAGACTCAAACTGCAGTTAGCTATGTGGAAGCCCGGAGCCTTAGCCACCACGTCACCTGCTGGTCCTCTAGAGTGTATCTTATAAGTGTAGTTGAAAGAAAAGAGAAAATATGTGATCATGGCTTTGCTGCACAATTTTAATTTGCTTTATTTTCACTTTAGGAAATTAGGCAAACAAGAGGTTGAAAAGATTATTGGTTGAAGATTTGGACACACTGTATTCTCAGAAGCAAAGGTCCTCGCATGTACAATAGCATTTGCTGGTTACACTAACATTTTATCTTTTTTCTTTTCTTTTTTCAGCTTTTGTCATAGAGCCCATGTGCTCACCAGAGAAAGAGAGAAAAAGTGAGAAATCACCCCGCAAAGGGGATGGCCACACTGCAATCTCTTCTCTTCCTCTTCCATTCTCCTCTAGAGGTTTTGGAAATGCATGCACATGGACCTGGTATGGTTTTTAAGCGACTGGAACCAGAACTCAAACTGTGTGATCCGTGTTGGATCCTGTCCCCTCAACCTCCATGTCACCTTCTGGCCCCAAAGAATCAGCTGAGGAATTTACTAGAAGGTCAATTTTCTTACATTCACCTTTCTCTCTGCAAATGATCCGATAGCTCTGTGCTGGGACTAGGAAGCTGCATTACGGGAAACACATACAATATCTGATCTTGAATGAACCGGAGGGCTCCATTCACTCTGTGTGACGCTTTCCCTGCTCTGGCTGGGAGGCCACTGCCTGGCCTGGACTGTGCTGTGTGCCCCCGCCCTCCTCTCTCCCAGGCCCTGCATCCTTCCCTGGTGGGGAGGGCTGAGCTCTGTTGCTACATGTTTCACTGGTGCCTAACTGAGTCCCTGGTTGTGACTTTCGCCCTTTAAGCAGGAGTTGGTCACATGGGGAACACAGTCTCATTTGCTGTGGCTTCATTTCTCCCAGGGTAAGCTTTATACCCTTGATAAAATGATCCATCCCAAAATGCCATGCAGCTTTGGTTATCGCACTCTATGGAAAACAACGCAGATCTGGGGAACAGCAAGATCGACGTGGTACAGAGGGCTCAAGGCAGAGAAAAAAGTTAGAATCTGTATATCCAGAAAGTCAAAGTTCCCCATGGATGCGTACTGGTGAGAGTCATGAAGCGCTGGCCTCTCACTTGAGAGTCATTGGAAATATGTGGGTGAGAGCAAACCAGAAAAACAAAAACAAAAGACGAAGAAAAGAAAAAAGAAAAGGAGAGACGAAAAGAGAAGAAAAACAGTTGGCCCTGTAGCCTGATGATTAAGAGAGCTAGACTCTCGGGCAACTGAGATTTGAATCTGGCTGTGGCTACTTGAAAAACACATGGAACATCTGTGCATGCCCTAAATCCTTATAGGATGGGGAAATGGAGAAGAGAATGCTCCACTGGGGGCAGGGAGGATGCTCTCTCTCTCTCTCTCTCTCTGCTGAGCACACGTGCCTTATGGCAAGAAAATGATAAATATGTAATAAATAAATAATAAGCAAGCAAACCCAGCCTGGCCTTATCTTCCTAAAAAAGATTACAATTTAGAGGAGATAGGTTTAGGAAATAAAATAAATATATTACCCAAAATATTATTAATTAATTAGGTAATGTAGACAACTTATTGTTAGCAAATAAATCACATAGAATATTTTAAAGACATTCTCCTGGGGCCAACAAGTGGTGTGGTGGTTAAGGTGCTGGACTCCCACATGGCTGACCATGGTTCGAGTCCTGGACCTGGAGGCTGGTGTTCTCACTCTCCTTCTCTCTCTCTCTCTCTCTAATCAAATTGAACAATCATAATAAATGAATAGAATTAAATAAATAATTATCTTTTTTAAAAAGACATTCTCCGGGGATCAGCAGTTAGTGTAATGACTATGTCGCTGCTCCCACGTAGTCGACCGCGGTTTGCATCCCGGACCCGGTGGCTTAAAACTCACGCCGGGCGCGTGTGCGTGTATGCCCAAGAACCCAAGAGGAGAATGGAGGAGAAGGGATTGTGGCGTGACCATCCCCCCTGGGGGGGTGATTTCTCGCTTTCTCTCTATATATCTCTCTCTGTTGGTCTGGTGAGCGCATGCCCTATGACAAAAACCTCAAACAAAATAAATAATGATGATCTAACTATAGGATAGAATACTACATAGTTTTTTAGATTTTTGCCATAGGGTGTGTGTGCTCACTGGAGAGAGACAGAAAAAGAGGGAAAATGGAAAATCCCCTTTTCTCTATTCTCCTTTCTAGATTTTGGATGTGGATGTGCATGCACCCCCTGTGATTTTCAAGCAGCCAGGTAGGACTCAAACTGCCACCACATGGGAGTCCAGTGCCTTAAACACCACACCACCTGCTAGCACCAAGAACATTCTTAAGACATTAATGCATGTTGGATACATGAAGAAATATTGATAATTAAGAGAAAGCAAGTATGCTAAAACTAATCTCTAACATTTGAAAGAAACCAGGATTTTGTCTCCCAAAGGGGTTTCTTTTTTATTGTTTTACTTGTTGATATTGTTGTTTCATTATATTATCAGTTCGCTAAACCCAGACATGTCCTCTTGCATCTTCCGGTAACGTGGAGTGCTGCACATCTTTGACGCACTGTGCGTGACACGAGAAGCATGACTCCAGTGTGACTGGGAGATAGGACATATCCAAGAACAGAAAACAATGACAGTACAGCTGACAGGGAGGGCTGCAACCTGGGAGGGGGCCCCACATTGTGAGCAGTGGAAGAGTCTACACAGTCTCTTCTGAGCAAGCTCGGGTTCTAGAGCCACACTTCTTAACAGTTTGGGGACTCAGTTTCTTCACCTATAAAACGGAGACAGCGAAGGCAGGACCAATGCCCACTGATAGGTTATGTTAAGATCCGATCAGTATACATGAAAAGTTTGACATCGAGTGTAAGAACTTCATCAACAAGGCGATCTTCATTATCACTGCATCTTGCTTTCGGGTGTTTTGCACCATTCCACATTTCTTTGTCTTAACTTCAGACTCTTATTTGTCCCTCAGAACCCTGCACAAATCATGCCTCCCTCAGGAAGCTGGTCTCACTTCCCCAGCTTGTTTTTCTCTCACATCTGACCGGTAAAAATGTGCCAACATCATCACAAGGTTTGAGGGAGGCATGTCTCGGGAGAACCCAATCATGGCGCTTAGGAATCACCCAAGGACCTCCCGATGGGGCTGTGGAGCACGGCACTGTCAGCATCCACGGCATGACCACGGGTCTTGGTCACGGCCACTAGGCTGCGTGCTCTCTGAGAAAGAGCAATGCTGGCTTGATTGTGTCCCCAGATCCTCACAGTGCTGAACACACAGTAGGTACCACGCAGAAATTTCGTCACCAAATGAAACAGCCTACCATGAGAGGCGAAGGCGAGATTTTATTCTAAGTCCCAAAGTCCACATAGAATCCTGAAGGAAAGAAATGGGAGCGGCCTGAAGTCCCATGAGAAACTATGGCGTATTGACCTCCTTGGCAAAGTCGACTTCTCTCTCCCTGCTGGCCCTTCTTTGGAGGGAAAGTTTCTTGCCGGCGTGCAATTGTCTAACAGTTTGAGTGTTGAGGTCAGGACTGTTTTTCTTTCACCAAATGAATTTAAAGGAGCCTGACAGATTTTGACTTTATGAGGCTATTATTTTCACGAAGCCTAAGAATAAACATTTGATAGTATTACCATCCATATCGTTTCTGTCTCTTGTTTAGGAATTTCAGCCCCATGAACAGAGTCTGTATCTCACCCACCACTAAAACCCTGCACCTCAAAGGTGCTCCTCAGAAGATACTGCTAGGTCAAATGAATAAATGAATTACCGCAAAAGAAGATGTGATTTTATTTTCTGAACAAAATGGTTTACTTTCATTTCCCCAACACATATTTCTCTCTGATGAATCTGCATTTTACAGCAGGTTAACTACTTAACATAAATACCTCCCTCCCGGGACCAGCAGTTAGCATGACGGCTATGTCACTGTACTTCCACGTAGTCGACCGCAGTTCGAGTCCCGGACCCACTGACTTAAACTCATGCTGGGCGCGTGTGCGTGCATGCCCAAGATCCCGAGAGGAGAATGGAGGAGAAGGGATTGTGGCATGGCCATCCCCCCTGGGGGATGATTTCTCACTTTCTGTCTCTCTGTCTCTCTCTGTCTTTCTGGTAAGCGCACGTGCCCTATAGCAAAAACCTCTCCCCCCGAAAAAAAAGAAATTAAAAAAAAATCCTCCCTCCCAACACTGCCTTCCCAACTTCTGTGGCACAGTGATAATAAACTGCTTGAAAGATGCTGGATCCCAACTGGTGACTGTGATCCGAACCCCCCGAATGATCAGCACAGAGCGTGCCAAGACCTGAAAGCTCTGGAGGACTGGAGAAGGGGATCACATGCGACCAGACCCTATGGAGGGTCTTCCTCCCTTCAGCCTCATGTGAATGCACATGTGCTCCATTGTGGGAAAGGAAAAAGAATATTGCCATGTGCTCCCTCCTGCATTCCCAAGTCTTACTAAACCCCCGGTATTGTCTCTCCAACGCCAAGTGCCATAATAATCATCGCCTTGTTACAGCGAAGCTTACATGTTGCCTTTTTCTCGGCCTGATCCGACCGCAAGTACTGTAGCATTGTATTTCTCAGATTTGAGTTTTGAGTTTACACATTTCTTCCTTTTTATTCATTCATTCCTTCACTTATTTATTTATTTATTTTGACAGAGAGAGACAGGTATTTTCATTTCTTTTTAAAATTTTGCCAGAGGGCACATGCACTCACCAAAGGGAGACAGAGACAGAGAAAGGGAAAGTGAGAAAGCACCCTACCATGGGGAATGCCCTATCTTCTCCTCCATAGCTCCCTCCTTTCAGAATTTTGGGCGGGTGCACACACATACCCAGCACGTTTCTCATACCGCCAGGTCTAGAACTCGGTAAAGTAGAATCCAGCCACTTTAACCAGTCCAGGGACTGGCCTGAGAAAGGTACTTTTTAAGCAGAGTTTCCCCCTTCCACCCCATCATTCCGGCAGTGCCTTACTGCCTCCACATCCTCGGCTTGGCCCCAATTGTACTTATTTTTTGGCCATAGGGCACATGTGCTTGCCACAGAGAGATAGAGTGAGGGAAAGTGAGAAATCCCCCCCAGGTGTGGGGTGGCCAAGCCACAATCCCTTCTCCTCCACTCTCCTCTTGCACACAGGCATACCTGGTGTGATTTTTCAAGTCGTAGGGTTTGGGACTTGAACCACAGTCAGCCATGTGGGAATCCAGCACCTTGACCACCACACCACCTGCTGGCCCTAATTTTATTCACATGTGTTGCCTGAACTTTTTCTATGATGCTTCATAGACAATGTTTAAACTACTAAACTGATGGTTTTAGCATATTGAAATAATATATAGCATCTGAACAATATAATGCCTTATGTATATGTAATTATATAGTATCCTGTTAGACCTTTAGGTTAAATTATTTTCCAAATATTTTTGAAGATATTTGAATAAATTTGAGAGATACTTGAAATGTTTGTGAAAAACATATTATGAAAAAGCTGTGCATGGATTTGAAAAATCTTTTGCACCAAAACAAACTCATAGTTGAACTGCATTTTTCCATGCGTTTTTTGAAGTCCCCTTGTATATACCCTTTCTCTATTTTCTAGTTTTAATTTTAAGAAAATGTATCACTTTTCGCAAATGTCCTCTATATTTACAAAGGGTTCTGGAATTTTTTATAATTTATTTTTCTCTCATACTGTTTAACCATAATATTACAAACATCATACATTATATCAATATTACTAAGTTGCTATTACTTAGGATTTGATTTTCTTTTTTTTTTCTTTTTTTGGAGAGGTTTTTGCTATAGGGCGCGTGCGCTCGCCAGACAGACAGAGACAGAGAGACAGAAAGCGAGAAATCACCCCCCAGGGGGGATGGCCACGCCGCAATCCCTTCTCCTCCATTCTCCTCTCGGGATCTTAGGCATGCATGCACACGCGCCTGGTGTGAGTTTAAGTCACCGGGTCCAGGACTCGAACTGCGGTTGACTACATGGGAGTCCAGCGACATAGCCATTACGCTAACAGCTGCTCCAAGGATTTGATTTTCTTAAAACACTTGTAACTACCATCAAATTATTTTTTAAAACATTTGCTGCTACTTTATGTAATTCCCAGCACTGGATAGATGGATAGTATAGTTTCATTTATATCTTCATTAACACTAGGCATTATAACATAATTAAGATAATTTGATAGAACAGATAAAATTCATATTTGCTTTCATTTGAATCTTCCATTATAAATGAAGTTGAAAATTTTTCAGCTTGCTAACACATTTTTATTTCCTTTTAGGTAAATTATCTTTTCACATACTTAGTCCATATGGAGTGGAAAATATTTTAGCAATTTTAGCGTATTAAAAATAATCACCACAGGGCCAGCCCTATAGTCTAGTGGTTAAAGGCGCTGTATCCCATTTGGCTGACTGCAGTTCAAATCCCGGCCTCTGCAGCCTGAAGAGTATGCCTAGTACGTGTACATGAGTGCTTAAAATCCCCACAGGATGGAGGATTGGGCTGTGACCACGCCCCCTGGGGGCGGGTTCTTTCTCCTGTCTGTCTTTCTCTGGCGAGTGCACATACCCTCTGGCAGTTAACAAAATAAAATAAAAATAATTTAAAAGTTGCCATCATTTCCAGTGAACAAAGGTTTTAAAACCACCCTTGAAATAATACCAATTCTCATCACTCAGCTAGTGTTTACACAGCAGAAAACCCACATCAGTGAAGAGAGTGGCCAATCCACTTAAAAGGAAACGGTAAAAATCAATTCCTGTTCCTAGACTCGCTGTGATGAGCATCAGTGAATATGCCGGACGTTAAAATCCCTGCAACAGCCAGCACCTGTCACCAATTACAAAGCAGGGCCAGTGGCTGAGAGCCGGCTTCTGTCCCAGACCGAGCCTCCGAGGAAGGGCAGCCACTTATCGCAGGTGGACATGAGTCTAATCAAGCTCTGTTCTGTTCCCTATCCCACCTTTGTTTGCCTATTTAACCAAGCAGAAGTGGTTAACCACTCAGAGAAAACAACTTCAACGCTATTGACATAAAACTCATTCGCATGACCTGCAGGTCATTGCAGGCAGCCTTCGGAAGGGTACAAGCTGGCAAGATGCCGTTCCCTGAGAACCAACTGCATCAGCCTATTTGATCCATGCAAAATTTATTTTGAATTTTTGGAACCAAATGACCCTCCATTTGCCAGGCAACTTTGAAGAAATAGATATTTAAAGAAATTGTTCATAAAATATTATTTTCAATGCTACAATGCTAGTTGATGACCACGGCCAAGGACATTCTAGGGCAGTGGCTCTCAACCTGGGCTCCAGATTGGACTCTGCTGGGAGCTTTCAGAGGCAGACAGCTGCCTGCACCCTCCAACCCCACCCCTAAGTTCTGATGAGATTGGCCAGGGATGAGGCTAAGCATGGGGATTTTTTTTTTTAATAGGGTGTGTATGTTCACCAGAGAGAGAGAGACAGAGACAGGGAAAGCGAGAAATCACCCCCCCAGGGAGGATGGCCATGCCTCAGTCTTCCCTTCTCCATCCTCCTCCTAGGATTCTGGACACTCAAGTTCACATACCTGGTATGATTTTCAAGCCACCAGGTCCAGGACTTGAACTGAGTTCAGCCATGTGGGAGTCCAGTGCCTTAACCACTATACTACCTGCTAGCACACCCATGGAGATTTTTAAAAGATCCCTAACCAAGATTGAAAATTACTTGCTGCTCAGGACCAGCAGTTAGCGTAATGGCTATGTCGCTGACTCCCATGTACTTGACTGCGGTTTGAGTCCTGGACCCGGTGGCTTAAACTATTGCCGGGCGCGTGTGCATGCGTGCCCAAGATCCCGAGAGGAGAATGGAGGAGAAGGGATTGCGGCATGGCCAACCCCCCTAGGGGGTGATTTCTTGCTATCTCTCTGTCTGTCTGTCTTTCTGGCTAGCACATGTGCCCTATAGCAAAAATCTCTCCTAAAAAAAAAAAATTGAAAATGGCTTGCTGCTCAAGGGGAAGATAATGGATGTTCGAGTACAACCTGCTGTGGGTATTTTCTTTATAAAAGATGAATAATAAAACATAACTTGCTTCTGAAAGAAAAAGAACCATGAACG